TGTATTGAAGTGTCTTACTCTATCTCATGAGAACCATCGTTAGACATTTTGACATACTGTCTGTTCAATTCAGAAATTAACACAGAGGTTTTAATAAATGTAAGATAAACCCAGTATGAATACAGGGATACAAAACAATTATCTTGTTCTCCAGTCAAGAAGAGGAACATGGAAAAGCCTGTCTGAAGATTACAAAGTTAAGGTCAAAAAAAAAAAGAAAAAAAAAAGATGAAAGTATGAGCACTGATATCATTGCCTTGAATATTATGAAATTTGTTTTATGACATTTGGCTGTAATCACAATTAGCAGTACTCAGGGCTGTTTGCTTGGCTGTGTGTGCAAATCTGAATGTGTGTATTTAAGAGAGTAATAGTGGCTGTATGAATTAATTTTCTTGTGAAGATCTGATTGCTCCGCCTGTTATAGTCTGTCTACATCCTATGTTCCCATCAAGTGTTGCCGATTAGTTCACAAAATGTAATTGAAGAATGAAAATAGAAGAGCAAAATGTCTGATTTATAGACTGAATTGGTTATGCCCTGTGATTTTTTTTGATGCTGGTTTAAATATTCTGTTATTAAATTGATTAAATAATTAAATGCTGCTATAAACATGTCAGATGGTGTTTCACATCAATTTTCTACTGCTGAGTGGAACTCTCATTTGCTTCCCAATGTTGTTAGTAGCACTGAAGTAAAGCGGGTGCTAGTCTTGAGCATGACTGTTAAAGAACACTAAGGAAAGAGGGAAGGGATGGAAGTGCTTTGAAGGAAAATATAAAGGCTGAGAAAACCCAGGTAGAATGGCAGAAAATTAGTATAACAAACTCTTACAAATATTGTCAGCTGTAGCCAGAGAAAAGGACACCAGCTGCTGTGTCGCTCTTCAAGCAGAGCTAAGGGTAAAGATTGCCCAGGGAATGGGTAAGTTAAGAAGTGTGGGAGCCCACAGAACCCAAGATTTTCCTCCTATAATGGCTTCAGCTCCTATAATTGCTCAGCTTCACTGTCACACTCCATCTTGCACCATCTTTCTGGCTCAGCAGACCTTACAGCACCCAGAGTGTCTCTGCACTGGAGATTTTTCTGGGTGTTAGATAACATCCCATATAGATTTTGCTTAATGAATACATAACAGTTACAGCTTTGCATTGTCAGGTATTTCATGTCCAGGTCCCTCCAGTGAAATCAGTGTATTTGGGGCTGTGGAGCAAAATGTGATACTGCTTCTAGTATTATAATTGCCCACACTTCAAGCCCTTCACTGGTATCAGCCCCTGCTTCCTCCCAGTTTTTGAAACCTTCAGCACAAGATCTGACAAGGAGAAGGATCCATAATCCTGAAAGCACAGGCTGATCAGGAGTCAGCAGCTAGCCAAAGGAAGATGTTGGTATGGATGTGAGAATGAGCTTAATTTGTTGTGCTTTTACATCCTGTGGTGGGCATAAGTGAATGCATTGTGGTCCCCACAGACACCCTGTGGATGACTTGATCCTCCCTGGCTGGGCATATGTGGGCATATGGAATCCTGTGTACCCTGCAGAGAGACTTCACTGCACCCGGAGCAGTGTTATCACTGTTGTTGGAGACCTGGTGTTTGGTCTTGGAGCTGGTTGGACGTCTCATAGGGTGATAGCAAGGATGAAAGGCACGTGGTGTCAGCCAGTGTATTCTTCCCACTGAGGATGCTTGACCTGGTGTGAGCTTCCATGACACTAGGTTAAGAAGACCTCCAACCACATGTAACAGGACTTGACAGAGATGGTCTGGCAGAAGATCATAGAATCATAGAATGGCTTGGGTTGGAAGTGACCTTAAAGATTATTGAACTCCAAACCTCCTGCCACAAGGCAGGAAAGCTACCCACTAGATCAGCTTGGCCAAGGCCCCATCCAGCCTGGCCCCATCCAACTAAGATGTGTGAATGCTGCCTGCAACATGCTTCTCCAGTCCTGCAAGATGGTCTACTTGAGTCACACTGCACCTCCCTGCAGAGAAAGCTCTCATTTGCATTGTCTATGCAGTGCCTAAATATAAAATTGGGTATAAAATGTTTAAAGTAGGTTGAAGAAATTATATTCATTGATACACTGTTATCAAGAATATAGCTGGTTTGTCAAAGAGGATGGCTCCTTCTCTGGTACTGCTCAGCAAGCTGGTCCAGTTCTATGACCCATAACCAGGATCTCAGAAGGAGTGGATGTATGTTGTGCATGGAAGGAGGTATCATGGCTGTTTTTTTTTTTTTTTTTTTTTTTTTCTAAAATGAATCGAGAGTTTTTGCTGCTGTGCTTTGCTATGTTTTTGCTTTTCATATATCTTTAAATTTTAAGAGCATTCTGCTTGCAGTATATGTATTTTGCCCCTAAGACTTTACTTCTTTTTCTTTTTTACTTAATATATTCCATTAATTTAATAGAAAAACAAGGCAGAGGCTGAAGATATATGGATATTCTCTATATTTGGCAAACAGCAATTTCCAAGCACAGGTTTGCCTTACAGCAAATGTGAGCCTCTCATTTTTAAACATCCACAAGAAATCCACATTCCAGGAGTCCCCAGTCTACATTAATCCTCTGCCACAGCATCCACTTGATTTCCTCATGCATTTTCTTGCTGATCAAGTTTTTTTTGTGACTTAACTGTTTAGCCATTTAGGATTCGCATATGAAGGCAGTCTATCCTGCTACTGCAGCAGCAGTCGTGTGCTTGGACACATCCCTGCTCGCTGTCATTTCGCAAGTGCAAAGCAGAGGCCTTTCTGCAACTGGTCATTAATCATGAACTGTTGGACTCAGATACAAAGACTTGGAAACTGCTGAATGTGTTTCAGGTTCTGTTTCGAGACCAGTTCTGAGGTGCCACACACGGCTGATATTCTCTGAATACGTATCAGTGTGGATTACATAAAAGTCTTTTTTTCCCTTGCTGGGAAAGAGATTCATTAAGAACTCATGGTTCAGTGTGTTGCAAAAAAAAATTGGGAATTTGGTTCACTGGATCTGAAAGCATATATTCCATCTGAAAGGATGATAAAGGAGATAAAATCGTCATTGTGATTTTGAGGCTAAAATTCCTCCAGATTTATTTAGAAGAACAAGTTAAATAATATTACAAACAAAAGCAGAAAGCTTATAAAAGGCTCAGGATAAATACTGAAAAATAAAATTATTTTTCAGCAGTAAAGAAACTGGAAAAGGCCCATAGATCTTGACAACAACTCAGTAATGCTCACTATAAAAGATATACTTGGAACGGACATCTCCACAATTCAAGTGACTGGCTTTACTCCAGGTCTATATTTCTAAGTCTTAAAATTGATAAGTGTCTAAATAGCTTCAAGAAGTATTTATTTATTTATTTATTGGTAGAGATTGCTGTAATTAAGATCAAATAATTAGAAGTTGGAAGGCAGCATTTGTCATTACTGAACCTGTTTGCTTATATTTATAGTTCTTCAGCAAGTATCAAGAGTGGAAGGTTTCAACTTGAAACAAATATGCAGTGTGGTTAGGAAACGTGACAGAGTAGCTCCTTTGAGATTCTCTCTTTCTGTCTTGTAAACACACTTTGGTAATTTTATGTAGTGCATGGAGAGCCAGACATAAGTGTCTGTACATCTCAGTTCATTCAGCATTATTCGATCTGAGGATTGTACTTTGGTGTTCATTTTATTAAATGTAAAACTGGGAGACAGAGAAAAGCTTCCAAGCACTGTGTCAGAGAACCACATAGTAAAATCACAATTATAAATCTATAATAAACATTTATGTACTTTGTACATATTGTAAACTATGTGCATGCATGGAATAACAGAAGACAATAGTGAGGCATTTTCTGCTTTGCAGATTACTTTAGGCTACCACGATCCACCAGCTTTGAAAGCAAGATTATTGTCTTCTGCAAGAAATAACATTTTAAGACTTTCACATGCATGAAGAAGCAGGCATTTCCCTGTGTCTGACAAGGAGGATGTACATGACATAATGTGTCCAGAGTCAAAGTATTCATGTGGTGTATAATGCCACTTTTTTAGCAAGTAGAACCTCCTCCTTTTCTGTACAAAAGAACCCAGGCTCTTTTGTACTACCTACTAGACTCTCTTTCATTTTTATTTTGCAAAAATAAACCCTGAGATATAAACTTTATTCCGGTGCAGAAAATAAAAGCTCTGAAACCTTTATTTGTGAATGGGAATAAAGAAGGTTGAGAGAAAAGTCTGGGGGCTATAATTATAGAAATGTACAAATGAAACTGTCAAATAATTCCTTTGAAGACACTTCTTAACACGTATTTCAGAAAAGGAACAATTTGTAGGATGCCTAGCATCTTTAATTGGAATTTCTGTGCCTTTGCTTTAATAAATTCACTTTAGTTACTTGATCCTTTAAAGTCTTTCTTTAAGTGGTCTGAACTTATTAAGGAAATGGCATGAAGGATGTGATCTATTTGGAAGTCTAGTCATTTACTATGTTCATTGATGAAAAGAGAACAGATCACCTTCACTTATGGTGCAAATATGCAACTGTCTTTCTGTGGAGAAGCAGGTGGACAAGGAAGGCTGGTAAGGCTGATGTGGACATCTCTCACTTGGCTTGGTCATGCTATTGTCTGAATAACTTGCTCTCATTCAGCCAAGGACCTGAACATGTGAGTCATAGAATCACAGACTCATTAAGGTTGGAAAAGACCTCCAGGTCCAACCATCCCCCTACCACTAATGTCACCCACTAAACCATGTCCTTAAGCTCCACGTCCAACCTTTCCTTGAACACCCCCAGGGACAGTAACTCCACCACCTCCCTGGGCAACCTGTCCTAATGCCTGGCTGCTCTTTCTGAGAAGAAATGTCTCCTAATCTCAAATCTGAACCTCTCCTGGCACAACTTGAGGCCATTCCCTCTAGTCCTAGTGTTAGTTATCTGTGAGAAGAGGTTGATCCCCCCCTGCTCTCACAACTTCCTTGCAGGTAGATATATAGAGAAAAAGAGCCTCCTGTAGGAGGTGCACCATTCCTGGAAATACTACAATACCAGGACAATGCATGGAGTGGAGGGGGCAAGCTCCAAATCCAACTCCAAGACCAAAGATCTGTTTAATAAAAAGTCCTCTCATTAAGGACATATCAGATATTGAACTCATAAGAACAGATACTACACTTGATCTTAGCCAAAAGGCTGAGAGCCCCATATAGCAGGTGAAGGATTTTAAAGTTGATTAGATTTCTGAAGAATTATCAGACATTGTGAGGCTACGGGGAAAGAGGCCTGGTCAAACAATTCATGCCCCAGGAGAGGGGACAGGATCAGGTCTTGGGCCAGACTTAGTTGTTGTGGTAGAACAGACTGTTCATATGCACTGGAGGTGGCTTTGCACAAAGATGTACCTGCTGGTGACAGTTTGCCTTTTCAGGGATATCGTTCTTATACTTCAGTGCACAAAGATAGATTGAGAGGGTGTACTAAGATTCTTCCTTATTTTCCTTAATATTGTTACAGCTACTCTGCTGATATTGTGATAAACATAGTATGAAAACATCATATGTAGAGAATATTAGTTTGCATGTCTTCCAGATTTGCAACAAGGTAGTAGTACAACAAGATAACAGTGGTTGATAAGTGGACACAAGAAAATCTAATCATTAATGACATCAATAATATGCTACAGATCACACACTCTTAGGCAGGTACAGCCTACAACCAAATATATATATATATATATATATATATGTATATATATATATATATATATTTGTGTAGAAACAGGCACCAAAATCTAATGAAATGATAAGAAGGGCTTATCACAGAATCATCTGGGTTGGAAGAGACAAAAAATCATCTGCTTAATTGCAGTTTTGCTCAGCACATTTTATCCCAGACTGAGCATTAAGCAAAGCCTGTTTGACACCCAGGGCAGGTGAGGAGACAACAGCATTGCTTGCCTTTTAGGTGTCAGCCCCAAGCATGCTGTACCTGCAGAAACCACAGCCAAGCTGTTGGCATGCCATGCTTGTGCCCATTATTTCTGCTTTATTTCTGTGGGTAACAGCATAGTGAGGTCTTGCTGCATGATCACCACAATAAATAGATAAATAAAAGAAAAAATGATGTCAAAGCAGTGGTTTAAGGAATCTACCAAGGCAGTGGGGCATTAAGAGTCACTTCAGCTATAAACTGAAGCTGTCTACATGGATAACTTAAGGGAGTCAATCGTGCTTAGAAACAGGTCTTTTGATAGGTCTCATAATAAAAGAGCTAAATCTCTGATCTCTTCTACAGACATGAAATGTACATACAATTTCATACCAGGTATTAATAATATAATTTTATGTGACATTTTTGAAAGCATGGCAACAGGTAAAACTGTTTCTGAGCATCATTTTAATGCTATTTATTTGAAAATCACAACTACTGTTGCAATTATGTGCCCAGTTCAGAAAGAACATCCCTATCGTCCACAGTAATACAAGTCAGAGGGAATCAAGAGAAGGCTTAGTGTTTTGTGCCAGCCAGATTTAATGAGTGAGCTCAAGTTACCTAAATCACATGAAATCCTAGGGTAGCTCATATGTTTTATGCTATGTTGTCCAAATATCTTGCTGGACTGATAGGCTTAGATTTAAGGAATTCCTAAAGAAATCTGAAATAATTTCTGTTCCATATAGTGACTGCTGATGCAAATCAGTTATATCTTCATCTTAAACTGAAAAATAAAGAATACTCAGCTTCAGGCAAACCAGATCATGTCTTAGATTTGTCGTCTGCATGGTAGACAGGAAGATAACTTAAATAGCAACAGGGGATCTCCCTAAGATAGGGAGATATCTTAAGGACAACCGCTGTTTGATGGAGGCTTCTAGTGAGTAAAAGAAATGGCAAATGGGGTCCCTAAAGAAAAACGCTACAATGCTTGTCAACACCTTGTTAAAATTAGGTAGATTAAGAGTTCCTTTCCCTCAGCTAGATTTTCGAATTTAAACCCATTCTGTTTGATTACCTATTCATGCATAAGCAGATACGTTTTCACCATAAGTCCTTTTTGCTTTACATAATCTTCCTTTCTGGCTCCTCAGGGGAAAATAAATGAATAAAATAAATAAATAAAACAAACAAATAAATCTATTAAAAGTAACTCACAGCATTTGTACTCCCCTGGGCCAAATTAGTATCCCTGTGTTTTTGCTACAGAACTTAGTGTACATTACTTGTGAGTAATGGACATGAGTAGTTAAGGGTGAGGTGCCATGTTGCTGTTTGAATATCTCATTCCCCTATTCTGAAGTGAAATGCTTAACTCTTCTATATAATATGCCCCAAAGTGCTGATAATATGATATGCCCCAAAGTGCTTCCCACACTGGAGGGGAAAACCAAGCAGAGTTACTCACAGGAAGCAGTTCAAGCAGTTACAATCAGGAACATTCAAGGATGCATTTTCAACACCAGCCTGGAGCTCAGGGGCTGAACTCAAGGTAGTAGAAAGGCACCACCATTCTCAGACTGAATTTATCTCTCTTTGATAGTCCCTGATACCCATTTGATCAGAGAATGTGACTGACTGTTTTCTCTTTCCATTAAAGGTGGAATTGGTGGGAGATATATATATAAATCACCTTCCTGGGAGGAGGTGTCAAGCTAAAGGCTTTGTCTCTGTGCTGAAGGTCCTGAGCATAGGGCTACAGACCTGGTGGAGCTGCACTGGCTCGAAGACCTCTGCAACTGCCACTGATGCTCTTCCCAGCATCCCTGAGACGTGTGTGGGAAGAGCAGCAGAACAACTGCTGGTGGCAGCAGTTATTCTTCTCCTTTTCGGGTGAGGGTGGCCCATTCCTTTGCCAACCTTCCTACAAAATCCTTGGTTTGGACTCTGGCAGCAGATGTGGGATCAAGTGCCCACAGGATTTGGATGACAAGCAGATTTTTATGTTTATGCTGAAGTGAATGGCAGGGGAAGCACTGTTTGGATTTTTATTAAGCAGGCACTGGAGGGTGCCCTCTGTACTTCACTCCTCTGTGCACAGATAATTTCAGTGGGGATTCTGTGGTCGGAGGTGACAGGGACAGAGTCTTATTCACCTTCCCTTCTTTACCTCTGCATTACAACACTTTTATTCTCTTAAACAAATAGAAAACAGTATTTAAAAGGTTACTTTTTTGGCTGTATCTGTTATACCTTTTGCATCATTTGAGGCTGTTCACAGAAAACCTATATGCAGCACTTTTGGGAATTGAAGTGTGGAAGGAAAGAAAATTGCATGTTTATCTTTATTTGATTTCTTAATTTTGAGAAGAAGGGATAAGTTAATTAATTGACAACGAGGTTTTAGATTTATCCCATTAGCAATAAGGGCTGGGATTGCTGAGCACTTAACTATTTTTGACATGTCCAGAAAATTGGGTTTTGTTGCATATTGTGTTTTCTCACTTCAGGCTAGGCTACTTTTATATTTGTTTTAATATTTGTTGCTAAGTAATGAGAATGTTAATATTAGCTAACGCAAAAGGATCTCTGCTTCCAATAGCTTATACTGAATGATTATTTTGTTAGGAGAATAACGAGATGAACTTGCACTATAATTATATAGCTCTGATTTCACCCCTTCTCAATAGCAGGTGATGCTGAGATTCAGGGTTCTTGCTAGATTCTGGTAAGATAAAGCTAAAGATCAGATGATGATAATTTGTAGTAATATAGAAGAATGCTAATAACAATAAAAATAATAATTAACTTTATCTGGTAATGTTTCAGAAATTCTAATCACAAGCAGTGATCCCACTGTGCTAAGTTCTGTACCAGAAATTTGCAGTCAAAATACCCAAGGCAACCAGATAAGATATTTATGCTTAACTCAATGTCGGCTGTGTTCTGTGTGTTTGGAAGAGATGTTTAGCTGTAAACGTATCATTAAGTGAAAGCATCCATTAAATTCTATTTGGTTGCTCCACAACCAAACTTGCTCTGACAAAATTCTTCATAAGTCCTTCGATTTCTAATCCTTTTTCCAGGCCAGCAGTGCATCAGGTATGAGGTAGGATAGCTCAAAAGTATTTTTGTATTCCATTCATTTCTCAAATGATATAATCAAAACCATGAAGAAGTACACCCAGATTTGGTTTGGCTCCCTATATTTAGCAAAACTTAATACCGGGGCTTTATTTCATCCTAAACTATCTGATTAAATACTGCTATAAATTATTCTGGTTTTAGCAAAGCATTATTTCCTCTTGGGCTCATGTTTCATAACTAAGAATCAGAAAAATGAAGAATTTTTTCCTCTTGTTTTCAACATTTGCTTAGGTAGGCTTTGTGACATGCCTGCAAGACTTGTGAAAAACAAGTCTTAAAGGGTGGAAGGGCATCAGTGACATTTCGTACTGCCCTGATCACAATGGAATTCTATTGTATAACTTAATTTCTGTCTGACACATGCAAGACTATGAAGTAGTTTGGGCCAGGCTGGGCCTCAGGAGGCCCCTAGCCCAAACCCCAAACCCGTGCTCACAGCAGGGTCAGCTATAAGGCCAGACCAGGTGGCTCAGGGCTGTATCTGCAATATGGGCTTGAAAACTTCCAGGGGTGGAGACTGCACAGCCTGCTCCATTGTGCTTTGTTCTTATGAGGAAAACATTTCTTCTGTCTGGTCTGAACCTATCTTGCTTCAGCTTATGCCCACTGCCTCTCAGCCTCTGGACACGCACTGCTGTGAACAGCCTGGCTCCATCTCCTTGGTGAGCATCCTGGAGGTGCTGAGGGGCTGCTGCTGGGTGCTCCTACAGCCATCCCCTCTGCAGGTGAACCAGCCCTGGTCCCTTGGCCTGTCCTCACAGGGCATGCGCTCTGTGTCGACCTCTGGACTTGCTCCAGTTTATCGGTGTCTTTCCTGCACAGGGTAGCCCCAAACTGGATGCTGTGCTCTAGATGTGGTATAAAAGCTGTTGAGTACAGGGAATAACCACTTTGTCCTGCTGACACAGCTCATGGCTCTGCTCCCTTTTGTCACTGCCAGGGCTTACTGCCAGCCCATGCTCAGCTTAGGGCCCACCAGCACTCCCAGGCCTGCTCCATGGAGCGGCCTCCCCAGCTGCAAGGGCTTCTTCCTCCCCACAGGCACAGATTTGCATTTGTCCTTATTGAGTTTCATGAGGCTCCTGTTGGCCCATTGCTGAAACGTGACCTCAGACAGAGCTGGAA